TATGCTTGTATATAAATTTACGTGTTACAGTAAATTCAATTTCATTTGATTAATGTATTTTATTAATTATTGATTACATATTAAAACCTTTTTTATCATTAATTGACTTTATGAAATCATTAATGTTTTTGTAAGATTGTACTGGTACTTAAGTAATAACTATAATAACCTGATGCTTCATTATTTATTTATAATTAATTTGAGATTTAAAAACTTATTAATACAGTATACTTTTTTACATCAATATTAATATGTTTGGGTAAACTTAATAAACTTGTATCACTCGCAAATTATAGTATTTATACTAATTAAAGATAATTAATTTATTTTTAAAATTATTTATTGATTTACATTTATGACTCCATTTATTATACATTTTTGATATACAAATAAAACAATAGATTTTAAGTATATGTAAGAAATGTATTTAAAACTAATTGACTCATAACAGGTCGAGGGTCCAAATCAGGGAATCTGTAATTTTGTGGCAAATGGGTGCCGGGTCTGTAGGCTACAAAAGTGTTTGGACATTGGAATGACACCCGTAACCTAGTTCAATTTTATTGAGTTATGAATTAATGTTTATTTAAATATATATTATGTAATCCTTAGCCAAACCAACAGAACGGCAGTCAACAGTCAACTACATTAGCACCGAATGATGACTTAGAAAATAGCCAAGCTCAAACACACCCACAGCCCCCTATCGCAAACAGTGGTGACTCGGCTTCCAGGCCGGCAAACATAGCGTATATGTTAGTGCCAACCATCCAAGTGCTAAACCCAGATGCCGGTCCCTTCACTTCATACCCGTCCCATCCAAACACAATCTCAACTATCTTTATATCTCTCATTTTCTTTCCCTTCAAATTTGACGTAATAATAAGAAATGCGAACAAAATATGTTTATATAAATATTTAATAAATATAATTATATTAAACTTTTCTTATCATTTTTGTACACAAACTACGTGTTCAGTAATCTTTGAAATGTTCGTTTCCATCGGTTGCATACAAATGGTGTCTCATATTTACCAAATGATATATAAGTTATTTACCTGGATATACTAGTGATTATTTTGTTAACGAATTCAGGTAAAAATTTAAATAAATAAAATTATATTGAAATTGAGAATTATTGTATGTACTTTATATTATATTAACTATAACATCTATTTAATATAAATTATGTATTACGCCGTATGTATGTACAGTATGTATAATTACGGCATAGTTAAATGAATCAATTAACTTATTTGCTATTGTATTTTCAAATAATAACTATTGAATGGATTACATTTTGTATCAAACTGTATATTATAGTAAAATTGTGACAATTGTTTAGTTCTTAATAGCAAGTGATGACAGAATATCGAGAATGTGGTGTCTGTGGCGGCAATAACAGGGATAACCCGAGACTTAAAATTTGTACTATAAATATCATATTCATAACAATATTCACTTTAATTATTTATAATTTAATAAATTTATAATATTTGGGTAAATAGGTGAGAATTATGTGCTCAAAGGGAGCGGTGTATACACGTGTGAAAAGGACAGGCAATGGTTTTCTAGGTGTGCTAACAAATTAATGGTATATTCTGTTACATGTAATACTAAACAAGCTATTAATTCACACACTATATTATATTTTATGAAAATAATAGGAGGTTTGTCCAAAAGGGGAAATGGATGCAAACTCCCCGGAAAATTGTGACATAAATGTGTGCCCGGCCTGTAAGCTACACAAATGCTACAGAATAGGATTGAAACTCGTAAGCTAGGCCAGTTAGATTGAGACTATAATTAATAACATAATCTATATACTGGTATATTATATAGAAATTAAAAAATACGATACAAATGAATATCAGAAGTACCAAAAGCCATAATGATATTAATGATAAAGACCCTGCTCATATACAAATATTACACCAAAATCCAATTTATAACCTTGGTAATAAACTAATAAATATCTATTAAATTTAATTGTCTATCACAATGCGGATTAATTGATAGATCAGACATTCAGTTCATCAAACTTAACACCGACTGTGGATTCAAACACTCAAATCCAACAACCAATTGCCGGTCCATCGACTACAGGCCATTCCTATCCCACTATATTGAGCTCATATCTGATGCCCGAAAGTGTTAATACGGAAACTGTTTACAATGGCTTGTATGGTATTTCCATTAATAATAAGTAGTTAAACGGGAAATTAGTAGATATGATATATTATAAAGGGTGTCATAATTGATCCAATGATGTTGGATTGAAATTAAAAAATTTACAATAATTATATCGTAACAAAAAGTACACCAAAATGTTGGGAAATTATTATTTTGTGGAAAATTTACGGAATGTTCGTAAAATTCGTACTCTGGTCATAATTTTAGTTTTAATGTATAGATGTCTGTTTTGCGTAATAAGATAGTAATAATACTTTCATTTTACTTACTTTTATGCATAAAAATCAGACATGCATGCATTATAACTAAGTACCGGAGAAATAGTCTTTCAGATGATAATTTCAAAACCTGCCCTAAATATAATCAAGGACATTCACCAAGAGATTTACAATCAACTTATGCTAATATGAATGTATGAAATATATTAGATTAATCATATAGTAAAATAAAAATTAATTTACAAAAATAGATAAATTAGTAATGTTTAAATAGTTTTTCTTTATTATATTAATGTTTTTCAAAAGTTTAATATAAATATGTTTAAGAATAAGCTTGTTTAATTAATAAACTTTTTATTTTACTACATGATTAATTTAATGGATTTCACATATTAATAATTTTATAAGTTTATTGTAAATCTCTTAGTGAATGACCTGGATTATATTTAGGGCTGGTTTTCAAATTATCATCTGAAAGACTATTTCTCCGGTACTAAATTATAACTAAAATTATAACCAGGATATGAATTTTATAAACATTCCGCACAAAATGTTAATAAGTTTCCAAAATTTTGGTGTACTTTTAGTTACGATATAATTATTGTAAATATTTTTAATTTCATGTCAACATCGTTAGGATCAATTGGGTCACCCGTTATTAAAATTTATAATAATATTAAACTGAGTTCGGGTTCACAATAATAATATTTACATTATTATAAATTGAGTTAGTTAAATTATTAATGAGTTAACTATTTAACAATTATCGTTATAACAATCGTATTTAATTGCTTAGATACAAACAAGCATTCGATGAGTTATCTTTCCAAGGAGAGGGAGGTTATGGGAGTGTATATCAAGTTAAAAACAAAATTGATGCTAAGATTTATGCTATTAAACGGATCCCACTTAATGGTATTATTTAAAGAGTAAAATTATCCTTACTGAAAAATCTAAAAAATATATTATTTCTCAGATTCCGATGAAAATGAAAGCGCAAAAACTTTGAAAGAATTAATTAATTTGGTAAATGTTAAGTCACAATATGTTGTTGATTGTTATCAGTCTTGGCGTGAACCAGGATTTCGTTTCATACAAATGGAGTTGTGTTCACAGAATTTAAAGGATATTCTTAAAGATAAACCGCAAGTATTTTGTCGACAATCCAGACATCCCATGGATTGTGTCGAGTATTTCATTTCGTGTGAAATATTTCGAGAGATCTTAGAATGATGGCGAGTCTATAATTGGTTTCATATGCTCTGGCGTTGGTTCAGTGGATGTCATCTCAATGTCTTTAAACATGCCATCGTGTGAAATATTTCGAGAGATCTTAGAATGTGTTCAGTATTTGCATGAATTGAATCCACAGATCATTCACAGAGACCTCAAACCAGACAATATATTGATTGCACACAAAGTAAGGAACGGTAGATTTATTAAGTTATGTGACTTCGGTTTGGCTACAGCTCACGACAAACGCATTCATAGCAGGATTACACAAAAACATACGGCAGATGTGGGGGATACGAGATATCAGGCACCAGAAAATTTACATGGTTTGAATTATAACCACAAATCGGATATTTATAGCCTGGCACTAATTGGTGGTGAATTATTTGACGTAGTTGTCCTAACTATTGAACAAAATAGGTATTTTAATAGTTAAATAAACTGATTATGTTATTATTTAATTGACCAATGTTTTATAGTATTTCATCAGAATACTCATTAAATGAAAAACTAAAATCATTAGTGTCACAATTATACCACATATTATCGACAATGATAATTCCCAATTGGAATACAAGGCCGGAATGTAGAGAAGTATTGGCTCAATATAACGAGTGGTCTATCGATAGGAATTATGTGGAAAATGACACTGAATTGGAGCTCAAATTAAATAGACTTAAAACTTGTGAAAATAAGTTTTTCTATAAATTCCTTTCAACTTATATGAAACAAAATCCAAATATTTTATCCCCCAATCCTTCGCCGCAAAGTTTGAATTCACAAACTACTGGCATGTTTAAAGACATTGAGATGACATCCACTGAACCAACGCCAGAGCATATGAAACCAATTATAGACTCGCCATCATCGCAAAGATTAGATCATTCTTTTATGACAGTTGAGTCCATTCACACGGCACTAGTGTCCCAATTTGAGAGGGGCCAGGAAATTGAGCATTCACTAAAGTCACCCACTGAACCAAATACACATAACATAATAACCACGCAGACAAATAATTCTGGCGATAATAGAATTGATGACATGATTTATAGTTATGTCAATAAAATGAGCCTGGGCTTAATTAATTTAGTATCCGATGGTAGCCATGCCTCGTATTCACTACAGGCGCTCACACCACCCGATAGTTTAGAAATGAATGAAACCGACAATTCTGGCGATACTACTATCGATGATATGATTTACAGTACTGTCAATAAAATGAGCCTGGGCTTAATTAAACCTAATGGCGATCCATTATTAAACAAAATGAAAGTAAGTGATGACATGACATTGCACATTTTATAACAATATTGATTACACTTCTTTATTACAAATCTTATCATGAACATTTGAAATATGAATAAATGCTTACATTTACAGCAAATTCAAGAGAATGAGAGCCAAAACATGGAAATGGTTGAGCAGATTAAGGACCAGTTAAGTGCCCCTGGTCGCTTTGAATACTTCCTGGATGCGACTGGTCTGCGTGGTGAGGCGGATAAGATAATGGATTCGTACCAAATGGGCTCACCCTGGCCATATACAACACAAACTGATATACAAGTAAAAAAGGCAACAATACTGCGTTCAGGAAATTCGCGATTCTTTCATATGGACTCCCGGCCCAGAGGGCGGGCTATTGTTTTTGTGACTGTGAATGGCCTCAAGGAGGAGGTGGACCGATGGAAGTCTATCTTTGAACAGTTAGGCTTTGAGTACGACTCGTATCGGAACGCCACGTGCTCTCAGATAAGGGATGTGCTGTTGGGGGTGTCGTGTCAGCGGTTTGACGCCGACGCCCTGTTTATCATGTTTATCGGCGGCCTATATAACGGTAAACTCCGCGGGAGTGGCGACCGACCGGACAATGAGATGTCGGTCACAGAAATTGTGGACATGTTTTGCGAAAGCAATTGTGTGTCACTTAGAAATAAACCAAAAATATTTGTGTTCAACGCTTGCCGTATGGGTACGGATGTGGGAAAGGGTGGCCAACATATAGAAAGTGATATTCAAATGGAAAATTTGCGAAAAAATATTAATAAGCGCACCTATGTCATTTATGCCCTATCTAAATGTATGCATTGATATTTTATTTTGCGTAAATGTTACAAGATGTGAATTAATGTAATTTATTTGAATACAATTTAGCTATAAATTCATGGCTTAGTCACGCGGAAGGAATGACACTATTTGGACAGGCATTCAGTTACACAATAGCGCAGTACGCTTGCAATCTACATCTCACTGATTTAGTTAACCTGGTATGTTATATATTTGAATTGTTGTTATTATTGATCCATTTATTAAATTAAAATATTATCTGGATATTTAATAGACACGTAAACGACTAGCATATGAGCAGGGTGACAGTGATCCGCAAATAATAATGGTCTCCGTAGACATATTGAGACATATATATCTCAATCCGGGTCTTTATAAGAGACAAATACATTTCAATTAAAAATTTATATTATTATATAATGTAGTGGTGGTAAGTACTACATTTAAAGTATTACTCAATTATTAATTGTAATTGTAATTTGAGTTGTCTGCAAACTTGTAAACTACTTAAATTCATGTTATTCAGTCTTTTTTCTCATGAATGCACACAAACTTAATTTTAGTCACTATTGACGTCTGAATGTATACAGTTGCTAAATAGCGATACAATTTGGGAGGCTTGGCATTTGAACACCGTGTATTATTTTTTAATAATTTCTCTTTTGAGGGGTAGAAGAAAAATTAGATTTTTATTTGATATATAATTTGTCCAGGTTATATTTGTAGAAAAACTTTTATAATTACTTATTCTGTATGTAATAATTATTTTCAATGTTACAATTTCTCAAAGCAGCATAATTTTGTCTCAACTTTTTTAAGGAAATCGATTATAAAATTGTCTTTTCAAAAATATAGTCCGGTCAAATTATATATCAAAATCTAACTCTTTTTCTAAAAATTATAAAAGGATTCATGAAAAATAATACAGTATGTTCAAATGTCGAACCTCCCAAATTGTATCGTTATTTAAAAACCACCCTTATAAACATACATGTATGTACGACAAACGCATGTTTTAATAATAAACATCCTTAATTACATGTGTTTTACCCCTACCACCCAACCACTGTAGGCACACCACCGGATCTTCGAGTGCCCGAAGTTCGCAGAAGAGAGACAACTACTCAGATATGTGTGAAACTGATGGTCACGATTGGCCACCAAATCATTCTCTTCTCATCGGATGTAAAATGTTTCAACATTTCAAACAATTTTGTAAAACTATTCAAAAAATAATTTACAACTAATTAATTGTTTTATTTTATAAAATTTAAACTCAAATATTTTGCTATTTCTGTAATTATTTAATATATAAGTGTTTGCTCTTAAGAAGCCATGCGTACGGTTTAAGGGCTCATAAAAGTAATTAATAAATCGAATTTTTCAAAACAAACCACTGTAAGCCTCCCTTTCCAGTTGTGCTCAGAGCGCATACCAGTCCCCCATCGGATGCATTGGTAGGTCTGGACTCTGTGTGACATTCGAGTGAAGTTGGAGTACAAGTCAAACACAACGCCATTCCTATGACTCCCGACTCGCCATCCCTTTCCATAC